CATTCCTGAGTAAATGGAAACCAGGAGGAGAAGAAAGACGGTGGAAAACAGCTTGCATGGCAGTGAGCATCCATGGAGCAGCATCACATTTCAGAGAAATTTTCCAAGTGGACAGATAATTCCTTTTCCCTGCCCTGCCTTGTCCTGTGCACACAGGAGGTTAGTCAGGGCTGGGGCAGCGCTGGGCTCGGGAGGGACGGAGCCGCTGGAGGGGCCAGCAAGCGCCGCCGGCGTGCGGAGGCGAAGCCCTGGCCACCGGCACGTGGGACAGGCCACCTTCCAGATGGCCAGACTAAAGGTCGCATGAAGTACACAGTGAATTGGCTCCTGCAGCTTGATGACATTTTCAGATGGACTTCTGAGCAGTCACCCAGGCAGTGTCTGAGCAAATCTATCTACACTCTCTTCCCCAGTCTCTGAAGCCCAGAGAAAGGGGAAAGGCACATCTGCAGTGCCTGCAGAAATTTGCTGTCTTTCTCTGCCTGGCTGCCCAGTCAAAGAAGGCAGATTTTTCCTTTCTGACAGCCTCATACTGTCCCAGCTCAACACAGACAGCTTCAGAGCTATGGCTTTCAGCCTGCTCTAGATCTGACCGAGCATCAGATGTGGACAGTTGCAGAGGGAAATGAAACCTCCCAACAGCAGGTTTGTTTTTCTGCAGTTGTTGCTGTGCAGAGTATGCTTCTGATTCCTGAGGCAGGAGACAGGTATAGGCCCACCCTCAGGTTTTGGAGTGTTGCACCCACCCTGGCTGTGCATTTCACCTGCAGGTCTTTGTTTACATAATGAGTGGTGTAAAAAAACAGATGCACCAAGAAAAAAAAACCAAACCAAACACACAAAAAAACAGCCCAGCAAAAGTGTTTCCCACTGTTCTGAGTTTAATCAGAAATACTGGAAACCTCTCAATCATGGAACAGTACTTAGGTTACCTAGGTCAGTTTGAAATTATGTTGTAACCACAAAGGGTGGATTCACTGGCTGTGTAGAGAGCTGAGAAGATCAAGAAGAGCTCAGCTGAGGCTCAGAGTTATGGTCGTGCAGGTAGTAATAATATTACAGAAATAGTAACAGTAATAGCACCTATGGAAAAGTTAGAGCTTCAGAATAAGCACAATCCATGGTCTTGTCTGAGGCTTTCTTCTGACTTAGAGCCATACTGCTCTTTGAAGGGCTAACTGTTTGCATTCTTCTCTGAGTGTGGAAACTTATAAACCTCTGTTCTGTTTTGAAATAAGATGAATGTAAAAATCTTGGCATGGTCTTATTTTTGGAACAGGATTGCATGCAGACATCCTTGTGGTTAAATTAAAAAAAATTAAAAAACAAATTTCCTGTGAAGGGGTAGTTGTTTGCAAATAGAATGATGACTGAGACTAGAGATGCAGTTGCAACTGCATGGTCTTGCTCATAAACCCCTAATGTAACTAATTTAAAAGCTCTGGGTTTTTTTCTGTGGAATTGAATTTGGTGGTGTCATTAAGAGGACAGCATCAGCTTGGAAAACTGAGGTTTTTATTTTAATTCCTTTTTGGGCTTCTTGGGTCTCCATCTACCTTATGTCTTTCAGGTGGAAATTCCCTTTTCAGATTTCACTGGAGGAAAACATTTTTATTATATAATTTTAAACCTCTTGTTGTATGGCAACCTTTAGATTTATTGTATTTGATATTGGCTGTTCTACACAATCTTTAAAATGTCTTGATGCTCCCCAGAATAGAGCAGCTGTTCTGTGCCCTGGTGCATGTGTCAGGAGGACACAGCTCAGCCTGCACACCCCTCACCCTGCTGCTCTTCAGCCTCTTACAGGATCGGTGCAATCAAGTTACTTAGACTTTAAGCAAAGCAACAGGGATCACAGTGCTTTAGAGCTTCATCAGGAATGTATTCCTTTAAATATGCTGATTTACAAAGGTTTTTTTTTGTTTGTTTGTGGTGTGTTTTGCTTTGGTTTTTTGTTGTTGTAGTGTGTTTTTTTTTCCAGCACTGTTTTTTGTCCTGTCGTCTGCTAGTGTTTGGCTTTCAGGAGAATGCAGAATTCAGGATTTTTCTTTTTTTTTTTTTTTTTTTTCAACCTTTAAAGTCTGCAGGCACCGTCTGGAAAATAGGCTCGATCCTGAGCTTCCCAGCATGGCTGCTTTTTAACCAGAACTTAAGTGGAAAAATGTAACCTTTTCTACTGCTCTTGTGGTATGACCTCTGGGAAGAGGGTGAACAATTTAAAGCTTCCTGCCATGTGTTAAAACCAAGAGAAAATATTTATTTTCTCCTTCTTCTTCCTCTCACCCTTTTCCAGCCCTTGTGCTTGCCAGGGCTTTTCATTTAAACCTTTTTTCTTTCCAGCTCCTCCTTCCTCCGTGGTCCTGTTTACCCTTGTTGCCCGGGTGGGGTGTGTATGTGTCAAATTTGTTTTTTAACTCAGCTTTCTCTGTCCCAGCTGCTTTGTTTTGCTCAAGCTCCATCTGCAGCCATGCCACTGAACTTGTTTTTCACTGCTGCTCTTTGCCATTTATATTTCCATTTCTACGTGTCTCAAACCAAAAGCTGTGCCTCTATCTTAATCCAGAATGTCTTGCACCTACAGTATTTGCTATCCAGGCAGCTAAAATTTCCAACACAGCTATGTTCTGTGTGGTCAGTAAATGTGTCTGCGAGAATAGTTAGGCTATTTAATTGAAATTATAAACTCAGTGTTAAAAAGCTTAGAAGGACTTTTTAGGCATGGAATTTGGCTCCTGTTTATTTCAGAACTTTGTTCACCAGTTACTGATGTGATTTGGTTGGGAATCCAGAGACACTCTGCTAATCAACTGGAGATCACCCCGATGATATTCTTGTTGTGTGCATATGTGCTAGTTGTGCCTTGGTGTATTCTTGTGGGTGTTAAACCATTCATTCACTTTACCTGGCAGTGGAACATGAAGGTTTTTCCTGACTGAATCTTCAGTTTCTCAGAAGACTTGATCGCATTTTAGGAACTTTAAGCAGGATTTTTGGGGTAGTGTTTGGGGGTTTCTTTTTGTGAAGGTTTTTTTCTTTTTGTTTGGGTTTTTTTTTTACATTCATGATCATGTGTTTTCTTCCTTGTCAGTGATTTTTATTTTTTTTCCCTTCTGATCAGCCCTGTCAGTACTGTAATAGTTGAGAGGGGATTTTAGTGACATTTTAGGAGTTTGTTCTGTCTGTACTTCACACTGAGGTCAAGCAAACAAACAAAGCAATCGTTATGTTTTAGTATTCTTTTTAATGAGCACATTAAAATCTATTCAGAGCAGCTGTGAAGAGAAGGGAGAAACATGGAAATCTGGGTTACACTGTCTTTTTGAAGCAATTTATGGAAAAACAATGGACTAGAGGGATGTGTAAGGATTCTGTTAGGAAATAAATGTCACCCTGTTGTTAACAGAAAGGGATTTGGCAGAAGGCTTCTCTTGACTGTTTCTGTGGCTTAGAAAGGAATTTCCTACAGACTGAACTAACTTTAAAAATATTTTTACTTTTAGGAGTTCAAGGCATACAGTGGAGTCTGCCTGGGGAAGATGTCGTCTTTGGCAATGAAAGCCAGTTGTCGGGACAAAAGAGGGAGTTTCTTTAAGGTAAATGAGATATTACACAGAACATAAAGCACATGGTTTTATGTGAAACGTGTTGCAGAATGTGCAGTACAGGCTGTGAGACACAGAAAGTGTTTTCTGTAAAATAGGCAGCACTTCACTGAGCATCTTTTTTAACAGGTGGTATTCAGTTAGATTCCCGTCCAAGTATTTAATGTGTATGTTGTTTTCCTGTACACTGAATAGAATATTTGGTGTAAAACAGCTTGTGGCTTTCTCTAATGCTGAGAACATAAGCTTTATTAGGCACAAGGCATAAAATGATTAGAGCTTTCATAAACTGGATTTGTAAGGCTTAAAGTTGCAGTACAGGTTTATGATTTCCATTATTGAATTGAAAATGTATTTAATTTCCTTGCCTATTTTAAGAAAAATTGGCTTTTTGTTTGTGTGTCATCTGAACACTCAGAAAAATACTGGATTTGTATTTTTATGTTTTGGTGGTTTTGCTTTGTTTGTGGGTTTTGTTTGGTGTTTTTTAAAGCTTAAGTACATCTTGTTTGAAATGCCTGGAAGTAATTGGCCCAGCTTCCTGATGATAGAGGCACTGAGAGCTGCTTCAGTTCTGGCATGGACCTGCTTGCAGAGAGAAAACGGAAATAATTCCATGTAGTGTTTTTGTATTTTGGGGGCTGTTTCAAGGTGTCATGCCCCCTCCCTGAAGGTGTTCAAGGCCAGGTTGGACAGGGCTTTGTGCAACTTGGTCTAGTGGAAGGTGTCCCTGCCCTTGCAGGGGAGTTGGAACTAGATGATCTTCTAGGTCCCTTCCAACCCAAACCATTCTATGATTCTATGGTTCTATGATGCGGCTTACAGCACACACACAGCCTATTCCAGTGAGAATTTGTTTCAAGTGAGAGCTCTTCTGTCTGCCATAGGTCCATTCCCATCATGGAATAGAGCTGAAGCCTGGCAATGTACAAAAGGGGCCGGGAAGGTAGGACGCAGCAGATACTCTCCTCATCCCCCTGGGAGACACCTGGGAGGTGGCATAGGCAAAGGCCTGTCTGGTCTTGAGGTGATGCTCAGAGCTGCAGGGAGGCAGAGCCCTCAGTTGAAGCATCTTCAGATGCTCCCTGGAAGTCTTTAGAAATGCACTTTTCCCTTGGCAGGGACTGTCTGAGTTTTGTCCTGCTAACCTCATTACAGCTGGAAGATGGAACCTTGAGAACTGCATGAGATTGGCTGCCGGCTCTCCTTAGCTTTTTTGCATCTTCTGTGATCATCTTCACGTGTACATAGTTATGAATTACTTCTGCCTCTGGGAACTTCTCTCAAGTTGAACTTGATTGCTTGATTTTGCTTTTCCCCAGTCTTTCCTGGTGAATTAACTTGTCTGATTGGCCCCAAATTTTCTTAGCACAGGCATGAGCAATCACACTGCAAAAGTAAGCATGGGTCACTGTGTCCTCTCTTCTGCCTCCTACTCCATGTGAGGCTTGTTAAGACTCTGGGGGATCAGCCAAAGGGCTTTGGGGGCTGCAGTGAGCTTACTGTTTTCTAGGGGAGTGCAGGAACATGTTTTGGGTTTTTATATGACAGAGGGAGAGTTTCTGCAGTGGAGTGACTTCAGAGAACTTTCATCTTGCCTCGTAGTACTGTTGCAGTGACACATACACACGGAAGCATTTGTTTCATGTGTTGTATGTTTTCTTAATTTTAAAGCAATCTCAGCAGGCCGATCTGTAAGAAACAAGCCATCAGTGCTCCAGTAACAGCATGGTTTCGGCTGGCCCAGAGCTTCATGTGGTCAGTAATAATCAGGGGCTTCTGGGGACAGGAATTACTTCTCAGTTTTGCATAGCCCTTTCGTTTTGTCTCGTATTTCGTAAGCACAAGCATCAACCTTGTTTGATGGCAGTCCACAGCCATTAAGGGAGAATGGTCATATTTTCAAATCACAGCAAGAAGCTGTCTCACAAGGAGTATTTCTAGGTTGTCACGCATGTGCTGAAGGAATTGTGATGTCAGTGGGACTGTAAGCATGTGCTCAGGTAATTTTCTGCAGTCCTGTCATACTCCTTTTGTAAGTAATTCTTCCGTGGAAAATAGATGGTGGAATAGCTGTTCCATAGGCCTCATGTTCATGGTGGCATGGTTGTACTTATTCAAAATGAGTAGGACGTGCAGTATGCCTGAGCGATTTCAAGACACCAGACTCTTAAGAACATAAGAATCATTGACAATTAAGAAACAAAGGTTGTCCTAAATTTTCCTAAGCACAGGGGAATGACTTGAAGAATAGTGGGAATAATAGATGCCTCTCACCGCCCCTGGGAAGCTGCACTGTTGGACCACCATTCTGAACCTGCTGCATCGAATTGGAAACTGCCTGTGTGTAGTGTTCGTGGTGTCTGTGCCTTGTGTGTATGGTGAAACCATCTTCTCTTTCTTTCCCTCCACACAGTTGTTAAACTGTGACAACACTTACATTTGTTGAGCTCTGGACAGGTGAGCAAACAATTGGCACATGAGACTTTTTCAGTTTGTTATTTTAATTTGCTATGTCTGTCTGTGTTTGTGTCCCAGGAATCAGGGTACAGCCTTTTACCCATACTGGCCGGTACTTAAGACTGTGCTCCCAAACACGCAGACTGTGTGGTGTACTTGTGCATATGGCTCTCATGTTGTGCGTGTTACTCTACAGTAGCTCAAGAAACCTTGAGCATGCTGGTGTGCAGTTTCTCAGGGCACTTAAATCCTCATGAAGGATGTCTTACCATTCTCAGCAACATTTATGAGAAAATTCATTGACAAAAAAACAGTGGGAGATTCCACCTTTTCTTTCTGCTTCTTAAATAGTTCACTTTGCTGTAGCTTCTAACCATCTCTTAGTTTTCTCACTTTCATGCTTTTGACTGTAAGTACAACACAAAAACAGTATTGTCCTCATTTTAAAAAGAGCAAAACTCTGTAGTTTTCTAGGCTAGTTTTTTGACATCTTTATACCTTGCGAGTAATGAAGGCTCAGAGCCAGCAAGTAGTAAAACTGAAGCAATGATGGTGTTAGGCTTGGATAATTCTGGGTCTGAATGGTTGCCAGTGGTAACAGAGGCAGTCTGTGGTAAAGCAAAGAACTGAATATATGTCTGTGACAAACATCCTTTTTACTGAACCATCCTCCTTCTCATTAAAATGTTCCAACCTTTATTGAACTGGCATCAGAGGTTTTACAGCATTAAAGCTTTTCTGTCCCAAAATCAAACATGAGATAAAACTTTGTTGCTTACTGATGAATAAGACGCTGAATAACATTAGTGGTCTTGGGAACTCACAGCTCACTGTGCACAATAGCCAGAAATTGCTGCCACATATCAAAATATTTAATTGTTTTGAGACAGCTGTAAAAGCCCAGAAATAGCATTCCCAGTTTGGTGCCTCCCTGGCGCTTCGCCACCTTGTCACACAGGGCGCTCTGTGAGGGTTGCTATGCTCTGCTTATCAAAACAGGAAGGAAAAGATGTGATGCCAAAGAGGATGCAGGTCTCCAGAAAGAATGAAAAATTAGATGCTGGCAGGAAGGGGCGGTAAGTGCTGAGGCTCATTTGTCCAGTCTGATACTGATCCTTGCTGTCTTCAGCCTGTGTTGCTTTGCCAAACCAGAAGCATTGTTCTTACCTTTTCCTCTTGAGCTGTTGTAAATCCCAGGGCTTGGAAACATTCTGCAGTGGTCACTTTGGCTGATTCTTTCAATGTTCTCTCAGAAAGACGGCAGTTTCTGTAGTTCTCTGTGCAAAGTTATTTATATTTTCAACACCAAAAAAACCACAGGAATTCGGTTGCCATGCAGTGATGGATGAGTGATTTTTCTAAAAGTATCCTGAAACGGCCAGTCTTCGTCTTGGTTCTGGGAAACTCTGAGTTGAATTAGTAAGGAGGCCACTAGCTATGCTGGGCTTCTGAGAGTGGCACCAGTCTAGCTCTGGGCATGTGCAGCAGGGATGTGTATGTAGACAGAGCAGCTCCAGAAAGGTGGCTGGAGCTCCCTGGGAGTCTGTTACTTCTGGTGAACATGCTTGCTCTGATTTTTGCTGCTTACGTGACATTCTGAAAAATGTGAAATACAGAAATGGTGTATATGTGCTCTGATGAGTGAGTGCTGGGGAGATGTGGCAAGTTGTATTTGTGGTCTGTATGAAGGAATAACATTGTCACCCCTGCCAGCTTCTAAAAGCTGAGATCAGTCTTGTTGAATGGAGAATAAATGTTGACAATAAGCATGGCGTGAGACATTATGAAAGAAAACGTTGTGGTTTCAGATGTTTGCATTTCATTATTTCCTTCATGGATTTTAGGAATGTAAACAGCTACAGTACATGGGTATTTGTGGCAATCTAATATGTAGGATAGGTTGGAATAGTGTACTGGGTCGCTATGTGAAGTCATGCTGTCTGAGTCATAATTATTACATTATTATTTCAGTTTACAGTGACTGTATTGTAGTTTCTTTTTAACTTACAGAGCAATGCTTTATCAGAAGTAAACTCCAAAGGAAAAACATTAGACACAAAAATGGTTATTTATTGTATTATATAAAGTCTCCTTTTAATTTTGGAGGTTTTAGTGTTGAATAATTCACCATCTAAGAATATATTATACATTTACTTTCATGTAAACCTCTTCCTTCTCTAACATAGCAGGTAATAATCTATTTCATAGTCCTAAATAATGTTTGGCAGATTTATTCAGATTACTTTTTAAATCTTGAGGCTCCTGTATGTTGTTTTACACAAACAGGTGCCTCTGAAAATATACACATCTACTGCAATTGTATTTCCCTTTGGAAACTGCCTTTTATGGTCTTGATTTCAAGTGTGTTGAAACCAATGGGTGAGTTTTCCCAATATTTTCAGCAAAATCGGAATTTCTCAGGGTTGGATGTCATAATAGTACACATCCTTCCTGCATTTTGTAGAAACATTATTAACAGCTGATCTTGTTATAATGCTAATCATCACATAAGCTGTATAATGGCCAGAAATTTCATTGATCCTAAGTACTTCAGAAATTATGTCATAAAATCATCAGTACTTTGTTATTTGATAGAAAATTATTTGTCAGGTGCTGTTGTTACAGTATGTGTCAGGTAATTAATTGCAGGAATACCCAAAAGATGCAACTCCAAAATACTTTTTCTCTTCAACACAGACATAGGAATTAAAAAACTTGAAGATTACAATGTCTTCAAGATAAAAATGTTTGCCAGTGCTTGCCTTTTATAAGTTAAAACCTGGTTTAAATATTTGTTTTCAAGAACTTTAATCATACATAAGCCAGTACAATTGTAAAGGACAGTTGTGCTAAAGAGGCCGAAGGTGGCAACCATACAGAAATAACTACAAATAACTTCCAAATATAAATTCCAGAGAGAAGAAATACTAATTTAAGTAATTGATAGGCTGTAATTAAACCTGGAAAGGATTTTGTTCAGCAAAGTGTGTTCCTTTTTTTTTCATATACTTGTCACACTCCTTATTTAAAAACGGCAAATTGTGTGTTTCTTTCTGACCTGTGTATTTCTTTCTCAGCATGTGTTTATTCGGGGTTTTGAGTTGTGTTTCATACATCTTGATTCAAATAACAAGAAATCTGTTGTGTTAGTATTTTAGAATAGTGTTAATTATTTGGAGCTAACTTTAAGAAGGCACATCTGTGTTTGAAACTAATGGAATAGCTTGAGTGATTATTGAAACTAGAGATGAATGGATTGTTCATCAGAGGTTTAAGACTAGTAGGATGAATTCTTCCACTTCTGTTCAGTCGCAGCTTGGAAGAGAAATGAGCTTTTCTTTTTTGCAGTTGTAGTCAGCTTCTCTAGTTTGGATTAATTGCCTGTTAAACAGAATTAGTGGATCTTTTGCTACTTTGCAGGTACATAGGGATTACTGTACAGAAAGATTGCTGTGGGGGCTGGATTGGTGGCTTGTGTAGCAGGAGGGGCAGATTTACCCGTGGAGCAGGGTGCTGGAGGCTGGGCCACAGGGCAGCGCAGGGAGTATGAGGCCATTCCTCCTGCTGCTCTTTCTCCTGGCCAGGAAGGCGCTGCTCACATCGCAGTGGCTTGAGCTATGTGAGAGTCAGCAAGTGGAAGGCCTTTGTGCTCTGTTGTGCCTGTTCTACAGCATGCCTGGGAGCTCTGACCCTGACTGCAGGAAGACTCTGGTATGGATGTAGTGCATATAATCCATTCTCACTTAAGGTACACTTACTGGAGTTGACCTATTGTAAGTGGAGACTCAAACTTTTTTGAATTCGTCAAAATAGTGTTGCACAACAAAGGACAGCGTGAATTTTTGAGGTAGAGGAAAACTTCCTATGAAGCAGTATAGGAAAATGTTGCCTGCAATTCCTTGAATATACTGCTGTATTGAGCTACCTGACACTAGTGGGATTAGGTCCTGTCTTGTGGGTGACTATGAGGAATGTTCTAACTGGGATGGGAAAGCTGGTTTTGCTTCATCTGCCAGGGTTTGTTTTTGTTTTGTTTACTCTGAGATGCAGGGGTGGTGGTAGAGGAGATGGCATCACTGCAAACCCTTCCATTAGGTTTCACTACAGGCAGGAGCGGGGGATCACTGCCAAGGTTTATACACTGTCATGGTGTGGTGTGTCAGGCAAACTTGATGCAGTTGCTACAGACAATGTCCAGGACAGTGTACCTTGCAAACTTCATTGTTGGTTTTGGCCTAACAAAATGCTTCCCAGACATCTGGCTAGCAAATGCTGTGTTTCTCAGGATACAGCCCTAGTGCTAATCTCACCAGCTTTAAAATGAGTTTTTGCCCTCATGTTCAAAATTAGTGTATTCCACTTGAGCTGAAGTGTTTCAAGACAGGTCTCTTTAAATTGAGTTTTTCTGTTCAAGAGCAATCCAAGACCTAATGTGAAAAGCAGCTGCCCATTTCTGCCTTATTTTGTGACTTTTTAATCCACCACAATGTTGTGTAATGCTGACAGTCTCCCTTCTGAAGTAAATCTTGCAGATGGAACTCTTCTAATTATGTATTTTCTTTTAATTTGAGAAAGTAGATGCTACAAATGATCAAACCATTTTGTTCTTTAAATTGGTGTATAATATGTTGAAGCTACAGATTTAATATATTTAAATAAAAAAGCTAGCTAGCCTGAAAGGTTCTGTACTGGCACCAAACAGGAGTTATTCTTCCTCCAAGAATGACTGTAAGTCAACCCTTACTTTTTCTTTTGCAAGGGGAAGTCCAAATAGGATGCAATTTGAAAAAAAAAGAAAAAAGATTGTAATCTCTGGTGACTAAAGCTGCCCGGGCTTCTTTTCCACGCCTCTTCCACTGACTTGACGTCATACTATTTTTGTCCCTTTCTAGCTCATTGACACAATTGCCTCAGAAATCGGAGAACTGAAACAGGAGATGGTACAGACAGATCTCACAGTGGAAGATGAATCTGCTGATTTGCGAAGGTGATTAAAATGTTTATTTTCATCGTTCCTGGAGGTATACCATGACAGGAATATTTTAATTATGCTCTCTTCTTGGTGGCTTATGTCCTAGCACTTTTCTTCCTGACAACATAGAGGGTGTAGATAATCTTTCTTACTCCTAATTCAAGGAACTTGCATTTGTGCAGGAGTGCCCAGAGATTCAGTTGTTCCATATATTTGCTGTAATGTCTTCTTAAAAGCAACTGCATTTCATTTCTACTTCCTTGTTACACAAACCTTGGATACTGGTGAATGTCTATAAAGCAGGAAACTACTAATGTTATTCCCATTGTCTGTGGCAATTAGCTTTGTTTTCACTCTGTAAAGACTAAAAAATGCGCATTGCTTCATCTGGCTCTCTGAAGATTCAGCATTGAATAACATGATTTGTTTATGTTCTCAGGTTAGGAAGTAAAATATTGACTGTTATGAGCTGATGCTTTTGTGAGTTTGTGTTTAAATTCACTTATATGTGAGTATCTTGCACATAAAAAATATAAGTAGATGGGGGCATTTCCTTAGCCCTAAAATGATTTGAGTTATTATTATTGAGTTAATGTTACAGAGCAGATAAAATTTCTGGTTTTTAAAATAGATCATGTTGCACATATGTGGACTGTGGACATTTGAAATGTTAAACTTGTACCTTTAAGTGGACACAGTGGGACCCCAGCATTGTGGCTTTGCTACAGCTGTTGTGCTTGATTGGTAGCGTCTGTTAAATTGATGTCTGAAGGGTATTCAATATTTTATTCATTGTGTTAACACGCGAACACATTTTTTACAAGAGAAAAGCAACTTATTAAGGTGTTCTGTCTTGTCTGACTGCACGGCCTGGGCCAGCTCTGGAGCTGGTGGGCTTTGTTCTTCAAGACAGTGAGTTAATTAAGTCATTATTTAGAATGACATCCATGTTTTTTGTCCTTTTTTTTTTCTTTCTGTAGATACTTTCAAGATGTGCTCAAGCTTACTACAAAATACATTTAAATGATTTAAATAAAACACTGAGCAGCACCTTTGTTGCCCAAGTGGTAAGGAACGTAAGGTAGCTGAACTAATGAAGGCACTTGGCTATGTCCCTGGTTGCACAGTATTCAAGTTCTAAAGCTTTTGAAAGCACAGTTCTTTTACAAGGACAGAATGGATGGATACTTCCTTCATTTCAGTGAATTGAGCTAATTAATTATCATTAGCTAATTTTCAGTTAAGAAAAAGCTTCTTGTATCTTTGAATACACCATATGCATGAAAGACTAAGATCTACTAGTTCTAAAATCTTGGTGGAAACAGTCAATTAAATCTCTTCATTTTACAGATCTGGAGGATTTTTTTTAACTGAAATTTTTTACAATGTGCTTTTAAAAAACTGAATTTATTAATTTTGAGAGCAAAATTTTAATTAAACTGTATAAGTAAAACTAACATTAAAAAGTAAATTATGCCATTTCCATGACAACTAAGCTGAATTCAATTTCATTTTGAAGTAATAGCTATCCAATTAAAAAAAATGCATTCTTTTCTGTCATTTTTAGGATCATGAATGTAAAATATGAAATCTGAATAAATGAATTCAGGTCAACTTTTATATGACTACAGAAATCTGAACTGCATGTTTCTATGTAAGAAATAAGTTGTATCAAAGTTGTTATTAATTGACTTGGAGGCATGGGAAAACCAAGCAGAAAAGAGGCTTGTAAAAACCTGTTGTAAGTGGGAGGCTCATATCCTCTGTTTCAGTATTCCACCGTGTTGGATGCCTGGACTTTTTTCTCAGTGCAGACACATACCTCAGTAATGCAAATGAGTGGAGTTGTCAGAAAAGGGCATAAATGGGGTAAATTTCTGACCCACGCTATACTGGTGACCTTTTCAAGGGTAAGTGGAGAGCTTCTGCAGACAGTGGCGGCCCAGATTCACATAGGATGGGAGAGCTCATGTAGTGTGGCTGGTGGCATCCAGATGGCCTTTTGGGGTGCACTGGGTCTCCCCTGTGTGTCACTGTCTTTGTGAAGAACAGTGAGGGGAAGAGCTTGCTGCTGCCCCTCAGTCAGGAGGACTGAAAAGCCCCGGTCTTCCTGGAACTTGTGAAAGGCTTCATGGATGCTTTGTTGCAGCAGCTGCTTGTTCCCTTCCTGTTCGGTTACCATGACAGAAACAAGGGCAGAACTTGACTCCCTCCCTCGTGTTTTGCACTGGACAGACCCCGTGCCCATGTCTTTTGATTTTTTCCATAGCAGTTACTAACCTCAGTAGAGTCGTTTTCTGTGTCTTGCATGGTGAATTACTTGTGTTATTATTGGCAGGAAGGTACCCAACAACCTCTTCCCCAGTGGCTTTGTGGGATGGAGAGGATGAGGTGCTGAGGAGTGGAGGTGAAGCTCAGCAGAGGCTCTCCCAGCTGATGCTCAACATGACGGTATAGTCTAGGCTGGCACAACTGAAGTCTGCTAGAATGCAGGATTTACAAAAATCCAGGCAGTTTTGCAGCGGGGAGTCAAACTGGGTTAACTGTGGGGAGCTTGTGGTGTGACTGGAGCAAGGTTTGCACTCATCTACAGTTTTAGAAAGATTCACTTTACCTGCTTGTTGCTCTTCTGTTTGCCCTTGCGACTAGGAAAGAAACGAGGAATATTCTTTGCTGCTGAGTAGCAGTAGTGAATCTGGACACAGCTTCATTTTGCAAACCTTTGCACCACGGCAAAAAGTTGACCTCAAGGCTTGTTAAGTTGCATTACTGAGGTGATGCTCAGCATCCTACTGCTGTGGGCAAAGAGCAAACCCCTTCCTCTGTCTCCCTCCCCCTTGGTAGCATGATCCTGGTGTGCAAGTACCCTAAAAACAAAGGCCAATCCAGCAAAAAACATTGAGTGAGGAAATGTGGACATGTGAGCGCAAGTCAGAGTCTCTATTATCTTCATTATTGTATCAAACCTGGTTTCTCACTGTGACCCTCCTCCTGGACAGTGGGTGCATCTGGGACGATCAGCTAAAGCTTTGATTTGGGCTGATATCCAGCCTTCTCTGTAGTGTGGGAGCAGAATGAATCCCTCAAATGCTGATAGCCACCTAGTTCCTTCCTCCAACTCCTCTCATGATGTCAGAAGGGTGGGTAAGTTCTTCACAGGGTGGTGGGGTGTATGTGTAAATCCTAGAGCAGTTGACTTAGTTTAGTTCGGCTCAGCAACCCATGGAACAGTGTTGGTCACCCTCACGGGATGTGTGTGCACACTGGATGCACCTCCTCTGTGTCCAAAATCCCAAAGAGAGAAAAGTCCATTCCTCAGGACAGTGTTCATCAATGCAGGAGGCCAGTGGAGGTTGATGGTGTTTTCACAGAGCCAATTGGCTTGTTGTCCCAAGTCCCACAAAAAATGGGAGAAATGTTAAAAGTTTAGGTTTTTCAAGGTTAGAGCAGGAGGCACAGGTAGGGTTTGAGAGACCAGAAGAAAATTGCTGTAGTGAGTGGGGGGCAGGAACATTTGCTTCATAGAGACATGGTTGAGATGAATGTTACAGCCCTGTGGGTCTGAGAGAGTATCATGCTGGTTACAGGCTTCAACCTGCTCCTTGTTCTTTTTGCTGTGAGCTAAGTCTGGTTGGGATGCAGCACAGTCTTGTTTGTCTTGGCAGTTACCTCTGTTTACTTCCCACATGCTTACGGGTTTTCTCAAAGCTAAGGAAAATTGCATGAATCATGTATTTTCTTTAATTCATTGTGAGTTGTGTTGAAACTCCTCTCCCACTGGAGAGGAGCCAGTGTAGTACCCCTGCATTGAAGCAGACCATCCGTGGATGCTGATCTGTGTTTTGATTTTGAGTGTGATGTGACCCGGTCAGATTGTCATATATTGGGAGTCACTGTAAAAAAATAAACAAAACCTCAAATTCCAAAAACATAACCAGAAGAGAAATTTAGTTGTTGCATAATATACAGTATGTTTTGCTAGCATTTTGGTTCCAGCAACTTCTCATTCTGTGCACGTGAATTAATCAGGTGATTGTGAGGAATTCAAATGGTTCTTCTTTGCATGCTGCTGTTTCTAAAGAAGTTGCACACAACCTAGTTCCAAATAATGTTACAGTTGTGACAAATTCCACGAACTCCCATGTGCCAGGGTGTAACTGCAAGTTTAGTGCCTGGATCATGAATTAAAATAATTTAAGAATAAAAGATAAATTCAGACTAGGATGCTCAGCAGTGCCAGATCATTGCAGGACAGACCAGTGGACTTCGACTATGTTGACCGCTGGGACCTTGGGAAGCAGCTTCTCAGAGGTTGTATGTGGTTTGCCAGATTTTTTTTTTCCAAACTATGCTCTTGTGATAGTTCACCAAGTCTGATCTTTCTCTCTGCCTCTTTATTTATGTTTTGGATAGGAAATATTTTTTAAGTGTTTGTTCCTAGTTTACCTTCCTGTGGGTTGCAATGGCATATTAGTACTGATCTAGCTGAGGTACATCGGGGTAATTTGCACTGGTGGTGTTTTGGAGTGGTAGAAAATCTCATCATGACCAGATACTCATAATATTTGGGTTATTTCTTGAGGTGGCAGAAACAGCTGCAACAAGGAGGTACGTGGGTATCTAGGTCAGTGGGCTGTGGGTTCACATGTTGCATTCCTCCTCAGATCTCAGCATGTGGAAGGGATTGTGCGTATCAGTACCTGGAGGTTCCGAAAACCTTATAGTTCTGTATTCAAATTAATCTTCTGTGCTTTATAATGGTTTGGATGTGTTTGACAACATCAAGCTGGCCATACCAGAGAGGTGCACTGTGACCCTACCTGCATGTGCAAACTCTCACCAGCTTTAGATGATTGTTTTGGTGTACCAAGCAGTGCGAGTCCTTACCGCTGATGCCAGCTGTGCACTTTCTTTTGCATGTGATGTAACTTTTTTTGTAGGAAAAAAGTTTTTCCTTCTCAGGCATGTTTTCTCTCCAACATGTTTAGTTTCCACCTCTTGACCAAAGAATGGAAATAACTTGTACCTAGTTAGGCCTGCAACCAGTGTCCGTGTTTAACTTGCACTTTGCCATGGCTGCCTTTTGTTTGTAATGTTGTTAACTGTCTCTGCAGGTAAATAGGAAACTTCTGAGCAATATTTGCTGGAGGAACAGCTCGTGGAAACAGTCATGTGATTAACTATTTCATTTTTGTGAAGATTCATACATTACAACACACTTAAGTTCTTTTGGGACTGTGATTGAAAGGGGAACTCAGGATTCTTACAGTGGCAGTTTCAGAGCCCTGTCATAACTGATACAAACCCTTCTGCACATAGGGTGATCCTGTGTATTTTGTGCCCTTTGAAGACATATTGGCAGTTACCAGCAGCTTTTGAAACTTGGGGGAGGGAAGATCATCTGCATGTTAGATGCCCTGCCTAAAAGGCATCACATCATAAATAAGAAAACAGAGGAAGAGGACAAAAAAGAATGGGAGAGGCACCCGAGTGAATTGTGGCCAGCAGGTCAAGGGAAATGATTCTGCCCCTCTGCTCTGCTCTTGTAAGACCCCACCTGGAGTACAGCGTCCAGCGCTGGAGTCCTCAACACAAGAGGGACATGGAGCTGTTGAGACGAGTCCAGAGAAGGGCCACAAAAATGATCCAAGGGCTGGAGCAACTCTGCTATGAAGACAGCCTGAGAGAGTTGGGGTGTTCAGCCTGGAGAGGAGGAAGCTCCGGGGAGACCTTCCAATACATGAAGGTCTTACAAAAAAGCTGGGGCAGGATTGTTTACAAGGTTGTGTAGTGAGAGGATGAGGGGCAATGGCAGGGGAGATTTAGGTCAGATATTAGGAAGTTCTTTACAATGAGGGTGGTGGATCACTGTAACAGGTTGTCCAGAGAAGTGGTAGAGATTCCATCCGTGGGAACATTCAAGGTCAGGCTTCATTGACAAGGCTCTGAGCAACCTGATCTAGTTAAAAATGTCCTTGTGCACTGCAGGGGGGACTGGACTAGATGACCTTTAAAGGTCCCTTCTAACACCATACCTTCTATGATTCTGTGATCTGGTAGTGATAACTGATCCAGGGAATGAAAAGTGTGAATGATTGTGTCTGTTCTTATCTGAGCATGCTGTAAAAGTTCTGTACTCCATTACCTTTCCTTTTTAACCCTGTCCAGAGATGCTGCTAAGTTGCTAACCAAAGCTAGAAAAAAGCACTTTGGTGGTTTATGTTTTTTTTCTTGTTTAGTTGGTAAGTTTTGCTGTGGGTTTGGGGGAGGATTTTTGCTTGGTTGGTCGGTTTTAAGTATTCAGTGTTCTGTACTTGTAAAGTCTCTACCCACTTGCTCTGGGTCCAGTAGCTGGCACTATGAAGGTGGTAAATGCTGTTAATGATGCTGCTTGCCTGTCCACAACACGAAGTTTAGAAGAGCTACAAGGCAGTTTGCAGTGGAGAGATGCAGCTGTGTTGCCCTCTGCTGCTCAGGGCCTCCTGTGCCTTCAGAAAGGTCTGTGGGAAGAACACAACCTCTGGGCCTGACATCTTAGTGAGTCAGATCCTGAGCTTGCAGGGCAGTTTTGGTCAGTGCTCAAATATTGTCCTAAGGAAGCTGTTACCAGAGTAACTGTTCTCTAGTGATTTCTAGCACTGGAAGAATCATAGCTTGTACTTCTAGGTCAAAAAAAAAAAAAAAAAAAAAGGAATTTGAACCAACAACACACTTGCAAGGGTACTGGGTTATGGGGATGATGGCAATGCTTTGCATAACAAATTATCAAAATATTTAATTAATTTGGATTTTTTTAATGCACGACAAGTATCTGTAGCCCCCAAGAACTGTACTCCATTACTGAATGTAGCAGTAACTTTAGCTGCCCTGCCCCAAATAAATTTCAAAAGGTATAGAATGGAAAAAAACTACAAGAGTAATAAAATAGAAAAGTAACAGGTTGTCTTGCCTTTACAGCAGTTTAGCTTTGCTTAAAGATGAGCAAGACAGTACCATTTGATGATGTAAGAGAGAAAAAAAAAAAGGATTAATAAAAGTTTACATCAGGTAGCAGTTTTTTTATGCTTACAGTTCAATAATTCATGGTTGGACTCAATGATCTTAAAGGTCTTTTCCAACCTAAACGATTCTATAATTAGTTTGCCACATTCACACTTAGCTTAGCCTTTATTCCTCACATCAGGATCAATCCAGAGCCAAAGGAATTTGGAGCATAAATACACAATTCTTCACTTCTGATCCTGGGAAGTGTAGGACTAAAATATGAGGTAAGGAACTTCCATGGCAAAATTGTCAATATTTATAGAGAATTTAGAGCACGGATGACTACCACTTAGGATATTTCTTAATGGAGCTGTGCCTTAGAGAGGGTTATTTGGGGAATTTAACCCTTTTTTTCCCCCCTTTTTTTCTTTCTCCTTTTTCTTTTCTCCTAACTGAGGTCTTTGGCAGCTCATTAGCACAAGGGAACAAAGATATCAGCTGCAGAGGTAACGAGGAAGGTGTAGCAGAGACAGTAGTCTGGAGATAAGATCAAATGATGCTGGTTTGTGGGCTTCTCTTGTGAAAATAATCCTTACAAGCAAACAGAAAGTGCTTGTGTTCGGTGCTGTGATCGCCAGCAGGTGGTGGGTTGCTCCGCTGTCAGAGTATTGAACAGATTTTTCTGGCAGGCAGGACAGAGGAAGATTTCTGTGGGTTCCAGCTTTGCAGTCTATCTGGGAATAAAAACCTGAATTGCACCAATACCTTTCAATAGAAGTTTTTAAAATGTGAATGTAACAAAGAAAGAAGATGAAATGTTAAATCAGTCATGTCTGCATTTACACCTGTATCTGAAGTGACTGCCAAATTTCAACTAGCTAATGGAAAAATGCTAAGACTACTAAAGTAGCTGTTAACTGGAGGACAAGTGAAAGAAATAAATCTTATGGATTAGAGAATTTTTTGTGTGCTAATTATATGAAATCTCAGTAGGAGAAATACCACTCCAGAGTGCCAGCAGTGCTATTAGCTTTGTGATAACTCTGCTGAACTGAGTGATTTTTTTATGCTAATTATGTCTAATTTAATTTTTGTAAAATTTTTCACAGGCTAGTAAAGGACATGGGTAATGCCTGTCCTGAGAAAAAGGATGTCAAAAGCTGCCCCCGGGACTCTGGATATGACAGCCTATCCAACAAGCTAAGCATACTGGACAAGCTCCTCCATACTCACCCTGTGTGGCTGCAGCTGGGTCTGAATGATGCTGAAGCCATGGAAATTCTGCAGGCCCAGCCTCCTGGGGTAAGAAGTTACATTTCAATTTATTTGGTGCAAGTGTTAAAAAAACAAAAATGAAAACCAAAAACCAAATCATAAAACCAATGGCAAAAAAACCCCAGCCAACCAACATCCGGCCCCCATTTCTTCTGTCCTTTGGATAATCCAAGTGAGGGCTTCCTGAGCCCTTGGCTGCTGGACCCCCTGGAGTGTGACTCATTACCTGGGCTGATATGCTGGGTTCTAGTTTGGAGTCCTCTGGAGCTGAGAAGTAGACTGCTGCAGTTACAGCTCCAAAGCTGGACCTTGCTAACCTGGGCTGCATGTAACAGATGTATTTCCCTGTAAGGAGAAAGCCACAAATAAATGAGGGATGTCAGCGTTTTATCCTTCACTGATGCCTGCAGTGAAGTTGCTGTGGTGGAACCCAGGCCCAGTGTGTGTGGATGAGGATGTTTTAGTGCTGCCTCCGTCCTGGCGCAGGGGATGGCATGAATGGGCTGGTGGGACACAGGAGCACTCCACAGACAGTCTCCTTCAGACTCTGCAGTTTGACTCAAGGCTTAGGATTTGCTGTGTGTTAAACTGGAAAGCTTGGGCCTGGTGTCATGTGTCTGTGTTATACAATGATGAGATGCTTTTCTAAATGTTCTGCTGCCATTTTACACCAAGCTGTTGAACCTGACACAGTAATGAGTGAGATGTTTTGTAGAGATCAGAGACCAAGTTGTTTTTGTTCCTTTTGTCAATAGTCTGTCTGTGTTAAGGCATCTGTGATGAAGCTAACACCATGTCCTTTTTGCCTTCTTCACCACAGATATTTCTGGTTAGGAAATCTGCAAGACTGCAGAAGAAAGTAATCTCTCTTCGCCTGCCCAGTGACTGTGGGTCTTGCCTAAAAGAATTTGCAATAAAAGAAAGCACATACAGTAAGTTTCAAGTACCTACTTCACAGCTACTCATCACCCTGTGTGAACCAGGAACACTCTGGGCTTCTGGCACCCAAAAAGTCATGCAAATGGTGTCACAGATGGTGCCATCTGTGGGGGTCACAGACAGCCTGGAGAAGGGAAGAGGAACAGAAATTCTTAAGTCAGTGCTGGACACAACTGCAATATTTCTTGTGTGTACCTGGCTGAATCCAGGATTCACTGATTATTAGTTACCCTTTTCTGTAGAAACAGTCTGTAATCCTGTCTGCTGTCAGTGAACTGTCCTTGCATTTCCTTGTGCTTTTGGATGCAACTCTGTCATGAGCTCTCTTGTGAATACAAATTTGGATGTGGTGTTTTGTTTTATCTTTTAATGTAGTAATTAGATGGATTTTAATCCTTAGGAGCTTTTTCTGATGCAAGATCAGTCATATTTCTTTTTGAATTCCAGCTAGATTTGTTCCCTGTTTTCTAATAGAAATGAGCAAATACTAGAATTCCAGTCACTTTTAAACTGATGCTGCACTTAAAGGAAGGGTTTGAAAAATATGTTTGAGATACAGGAATGAAAAAAGGAAGCTGCAGCTGGTGAATGTATGTGGTGCAGAAACTGCAAGTGGTTCATTTTAACGAGAAAATGAAAACCAGAGAAAACTGGCAACAATTTCAGTTAAACTTCCCTGAGACAGAGGGTCTGGGACAGACTTCTCTTTCCATTAGTGAACAGGGATAATGTTAGTTGAGTTGTTTTCCTTTTTACAGCTCCCTTCATTGCCACAGTAACAAAAAGTTAATTCTGTGTATCTGGTTTTGGTTTCAGTTGCAAAAAATGCTTGGCAAAGAGAAAGCTATCAGTCACAACTGATCTAAGTGTGATCTTGTACTAATGAATTCCCTGCCTCTCGTTTAGATAAAAACTAAAATAATAATGTATTGTAAAAGCTTGTCCATGAAAGATCACAAGGGGGAAGTGTGTACTGACGATTTTACTCACCAGTTATAGCTGAGGTTCTAATTGTGGTCACGGATGTGAACTCTGATCTTAGCTGAGCCCAAATCACCTGCATGCTTACTGTCTGCATTGGTAGTGTCTTTGTGAAAGAAACCCCCTTTTCTGGGCACAGCAATGGCCAGGTTGACCTGGCCTTCCATGTGAAGGCCAGATAAATGAACAGAACTTGACCAGAATTCTCTGGTTGATGTGCAGACTCTACAGTCAGTAGTAGTGAAATCTTGGCCTGGGGCAGCTGGCTGTACAGCACTGAGTTGTGACAAAATTACACCTTTGCTGCTCACAGAGAGGCATTGCTGAGGGACCCAAAGCTGCTGTGTGGCTTTTGGCTTTCCCCACCAAGGCCAGGAGTCTGCCTTGTTGCAGCCCAGATTTGCCTCTGGAGTCAGAGAGCACCTAATGTAAGGGAGGTGGCAATCACTTCCCTGTCATTATTACTGTGAACAATTATTTCTATCAATAGGAAACAGCGGTATGGAGTGGGGAAAAAAACTAAAGGCGTTGTTCATGTCTTCCTTTCCCATTGTGCAAGGCAATAGCACAAAGCAGAATTGTCTGAGGATTTTTTAACAGGCTTTTCAGGTCAAACGCTTTTCTTGAATTGAATGAAGAATTATGTTTAGGTTGCCAACACATCTGGGGAGAAGATGAGTAGGATGGAATGCAAGAGGAGGAAATAGGAGATTTAAAATAAGGTATATTAGTACACTGGGCAAACAAAGCCTCAGTTATTGTTTTATTGTCTATTAGCAAAACATTGTGCAGTTCTAATCATACCTTGATCTGTTTCCCAGGAAGTAGACCATGTGTTTGGAATACAAAAGCAAAACCCCCACCAAGGCTATCTGTATAATACTATGTATTCTTGAAAATGTCTTACACAGAGATGTGCTCCTACATACAGTTGCTTTTTCTTAACCAAACAGTAGTTCGTTTGATGGTGCAAACTTACTAATTTTATTAAAAATCTGAGTTGCATTTTATTAAGCTTTTCTTAGAAATGCTGGTTAGACATGTGATGCTTTCTTACTTGTAACTTTCTTCACAGCATTTTCCTTGGAGGGGTCTGGAATAAGTTTTGCTGATTTATTCAGGCTCATTGCTTTCTACTGCATTAGCAGGTAAGACGGTGTTATGCTCTGAGTCAGACTGCTAGACTGTCTTGAAACAGAAGTCTCAAGGGTTTGGTTCACTGTGATATCGTCAAGGTTTAGTGCAGGGCTGGCAATTAAATGAATGGCAAATACTCTCTATAAACTTTTCTCCCTTCCCAGAAAGGGAAAGGAAAGAGAGTAAGAGACAGAGACGTACGGTTTGGAAACTGAAGTACACAGCTTTAATGAAACAATAATGATGAAAAAGAAAATAATGACATGTACAAAACCAGTATCCTGCTCTCCCCCAGTCACCACTGAGGCTGCAGGGCCTATGAGGAGTCAAGGGTTTCCTGTCTTTGTACTGAGTCCATGAAGGTGTACTAGACCCTAGATTATCTCTGGTATGTTGTTTTAAGTGTCTTTTCAAATGCTTTTTAGCTAGTGTATCAGTCTTGTGCATATGTTTGATCTGAATTTGAGTGATGTGGTGAGATCCTGTTTTTTTCAAGTTAATGTACAACAGAGAATATTTATGTGACAAAACCCCACTACCACAGATGGTTGGCTTGTTCACATCCTTAAATTATGCTGACACCAGTTGTATGTAGGATACCTGTGCTCCATTTGTTCTCATTTACTGTTAATTACATAGGTGCTTCTGCTACAGTTTTTGCAGTTCGGCATGCACTGATGTTTGAGGGTGTATCAGTAGCAGTTGGGCAGGTATAGTCCTGGTCGATGGTAGTACTTGTACAATGTACATATGGTTGAGTAGTTTTGCCCCTTAAAATCTCTTTTACACTGGATGTGACTTATGTTGTTGTTCATGCATTAATGCGTCTCCCTTTGCAAAAATTTATTAATCTTCTAGTATGCAGTGAAGAGAATCCAGATCTTAGAATAAATTATAAAGACTTTCTTAAAGTGTGTTTTCAGCCTTAGAACAGAGTAGCACCAAAACATCCTAACTTAGAAATTTTTAGAGGGCTGTCCATGTACTCTTCAAGTTTTATTCTGAGAACTGGAGTTCAAATTGGAGAGCAGTCAACAGCGTATTCAGGAAATAAGTTTTGTTGAAGGGCTTAGGGCAGGTAACAGTTTTGCATCTCACTGGTATGCTTGTGAAAGACCAGGTGTAAGTGCCTCTATGGTAATGGGAGAAAATATTGGATGGCTCTGTGGAAATTAGCCTGGAGAGAGTCCTGGGGTCTTGACTGTCATTTGCACTTCACACCACTTTCCCATGTAAAGGAGGCCGGGGTTGGTAATATTTTCACTCTGTGCTGTGTGTTTAAGGCTCCTGCTACAGTTCAAGAAGAAAATAAGAATCACAGCTCAGCTACTGTCAGTATTGAGAACAAATGCTTTTAAAACAATGGGTTTTGTTGTGAAAACCATAATTGTTTTTCTCTTTGACGACAGGGATGTCCTTCCATTCACCCTGAAATTGCCTCATGCTATTGCTGCAGCAAAGACAGAAGTTGAACTTGAAGAGATTGCTCAGCTTGGACTGAGTAAGTAGTTCTCTCCATAGATTTCCTTCCCTGTGGCATTGCTGAAAGCTTGAAGAAACAGTCTGTATCAGTATATAGTTCATATTGATCAGTGATGCTACAGATATCATTTAGAAAAGCAGCTTCTCTACTGCCAAATGGTGACCTTGGTGCTCTTCCTTCCTTCTGTGATATTTTTGTTGGTGCTGTTTCCTTCCTCCCTTCTCCTTTCCCCTCTCTGGGCAGCCCTTGGGCAAAGCAAGTTTTGTAATCCCCAGACATAGGTTTGATGTAGCTCCTCCTCCAAGGGCTAGTGTTGGCTGTAGGCTCACATACTAGGCACTGGCTTGATAATTTGCTGGAGTTACCAGGAGAGTGTAGGAACTGACATTCACTGTTGGTGAGACTTCTCTTCAGATTGACATGATCTTAGAATGATGATTCTGGAGATTAGTGGCTTGATGACTTACTAAAAAAAGAAGTGTGTACATAGGATCTGCAGGATGTATCAGTGTACATTGGTGTTGGTTTAGTGAAATGTAAAGAAAACCAAAACAAAAGAAAATGCAGGGACATGTCCTTTCATCCCTTGACGCTACTGCTATGACCAAATGCAGGCTCTCTGTAAAGCCTTGTACCTGGAGTGTGTAGGAGGTGCAGAGTCTGGTGGGGTTTGAATCACAGGCTCCCTCAGATGAGTGGTTGAGCAACTCCTACAAAGTGCTGAATAGCTTCATTTCCTTTTGCAGGAAGGGACTGTTGACTGTCAGCAGTCTTTGTCCCAGCAGATATTTGAATCATCTTTGGTTAAGAAATGGTTCCTCAGGAAATCATAGCCTCAGCATGAGGCTATGTGGTGGGACTTTGCAGCAAAGCCATATGTATTTGTTTCACTGCACTAGCAATGCAATTAAGGGATTTGTTTTAGACAGGAGACAAAGTATGGATTTTCTTTGGAACAGAGGCAAAGAGAGCTGTTGATAAGGTGCATGTTTGAATGAGGAAAAAAACCAAACAGGTCTAATTGAGATACAGTGTTGTAAAGACAGTCTCCCAGTGATATATGGAAGCTTTAAAGTAATATTAGGTGGGTTTGTCCATAGGAGATGATAATGGTTGTGTTGAGCAAGCTCTCCAGACTGACCACAGTGTCTTTGTCCTCAGTACCCCGGAGCACCATGGCCTGCTTGCTGCAGAGTTAGTCTTGCTCTTGAACAGTCACTGGCTACATTGCGTATGTTGTTTCTTTAAGCTGATGCGTTTAAAACTAAGGAGGAGGCTGATGGATCAGTTTTGAACTGTGTGGTTGGTGTATTTAGGGTCAGTTATCTACCGTACACCAGATTAAGATCACAGTGACTGTGAGCAAAAGCTGGGCAACAAAGCTGAGATTTTGATGGAGTTTCAGGTGTCCACATGCAAAAGATTACACCAAGAAGTCACCCCTTGAACACTGTAGACCCAAGAGGTACCAAAAAGCTCTGAAGAGTCCTTTCTGTTAAGTGTGAGCTTTCCTTAAGCAACATGTAGGTGCTGAATGCCCTGGTCTGAACACGGAGAGTGGTAGCTCCTGCCAGAGCTCTGTTGCACCACAGGATCAGAGGGGGAGAAATGCACAAGGCATGAAGCCCAGCAAACCACATCAGGAAGAACTGAGGGTAAAGGTGTCAAGGCTGTTGCCAACCTGTAAGGTTCCAGGTGCTGAACATAAGATTCCCTCTGTGTCTCTCTTGTTTCATCTGCAGCAGCACTTCCATCGTGCATGTTTGCTGCAGCCCACGTGCCAGGCACACTTGGCAGTCTGCTGAGGGATCTGCAGGCAGGATGTGGAGTCACAGAGCTGGATAAAAACAGCAGTGTTGCATGACTATGTAGAGAAATATGTCTGTGCCCATACATGTTCTCTGGCAGCAGCCTGTCACCAGGCTGTTTTCCTGTCTCTGGCTCCATAGGCAAGACACTCTGTGATGGATGCTGTTGTTGAGTGCTGTGCATTCACACAGTTGGGCCCAGGTGTCATTGCTTAACAGCCCAAATGAGGCATCTTGACGCTACAGGAAAGGGCCCGTGTCAGGCTTCGCAAATTTTAACAAAATCTCACTCCTCTGGTATTCCTCCATTATTTCAGACTGATTGCTGTCCTCACAGGCTTGTCTGGTTTCAATTTTCATACTTACCAGAGCCAATGGGCTTTACCATTGACTCAGTTACAAAAACATGCTTACGCTGGAACAAGTGCAGAGGCTGCAGCTGAAACATGCTGGTTTAGCACAGGTTTTCCACACTGCTGGTGTGGGACTACACATTTAGTCTGTGTGCTGCTGAGTGTCTAAAACCTCAGGCAAACTATGTCACCATTGCAGAGGCAGGGCTGCAGGACAGTGCTCTAAAGAGACTCCAGCATTTGGTCTGCATAGCTAAAGATAATGTGTGCTCCCACCACAGCAAAATGTGAGCTGTCTTTTCATGTGTAGTTTAATTCGTTCACTATCAAAGGAAACCAAACCAGAATTTTTGGTGAATTTCCCTAAGTAGCCATTAGCTGGTGTAAATCAGCCTAACTGCTGCCTTTAATGGAGTAAGCTTATTAATGCCATCTGAGAATGTAGACTTTTTTCTCCTGAGATATAGCAGTGAGTAGTGTGTGTTCATTTCAGTCTCAAGATGGCAAGAATTACAGTGTTACAGTCTCCATTCCTTTATTTGATTCTCAGTTTCTTTTTAAGCTTAGTTCAGTAAGCTGATTTCAAGCTACACATTGGTCATGGTGTTTATAAATGAGGAAGAGCAGCCCTGGGTGTGTAGCATGCAATTATGTCTGGTGATTCTTAAAGAGGTTCAATTGGATTTATTCCCTCCCACCCCCACCCTGAATTAATAAAAACTTGTCTACATTTGTGAATGCTTGAAACTGGTGCTGTCGAGCTAAGTGTTCTGAAAGCTGTCTGCCTTCTGTTTGTATTCTTACGTTAACGCAATGGTGGTTTTCAGACTTCTGGAGCTCCCCAGCCAACAGCAGCCCCCTGGATCCTTCACCTCCTCGCAGGCCTCTGCCTTCAGATGGTGCTTGTAGAGACTCACGCCAGCTCTGCCTTATAAATGGAGTGCATTCTATACGGACCAGAACGCCCTCGGAGCTGGAGTGCAGCCAGACCAACGGAGCGCTGTGCTTCATTAATCCCCTCTTCTTGAAAGTGCACAGCCAGGATGTCAGTGGAAGTCTGAAAAGGCAGAGCCCGAGAACTCCAGACGTGAATGGCACAGCGAGGCCTCGCTCCCCGCCGCCCCGGCCACCACCTCCTTCTATTAATAGCATCCTCACGAGTCCACAGCTTTCCAGGACTATAAAGCAGACAAGCATGCCAGAAACAGTCAACCACAAGAAAGAGAGAGGCTTGGATTTGCTGCAGAGTAAACCAACCCCTATTCCGCCTCCTCGGCTGAAGAAGCAGGCTGCTTGCTCGGACGTGGAAGGTGGAAGCTCAAAGACTGCAGGGATCACTCGACCTGGCTGCAGCTCAGTGCCTGTGCCTGAAGCTGCTGGCATTCCAGGTGAAACCCTGCCTGAGCCTGCTCCAGCAGCTGCCAAAAAGACGGTAGCTGCCAGCTCTGAGTCACACATACCGTGGAATGGAGGCAGGCAGAGGCTGAGCGACATGAGCATTTCCACCTCCTCATCTGACTCGCTGGACTTCGACCGGAGCATGCCGCTGTTCGGCTATGAGGGGGACACCAACAGCAGCCTGGAGGATTTTGAGGGGGAAAGTGACCAAGAGAGCATGGCACCCCCTTTGAAGCCCAAGAAGAAAAGAAACAGTTCATTTGTTCTCCCCAAGATTGTGAAATCTCAGCTACGGAAAGTCAGTGGGGTTTTCAGTTCCTTCATGACTCCTGAAAAGAGGATGATTAAGAAAATTGCAGAGATGTCCCGGGACAAACGCACTTATTTTGGATGCCTAGTGCAGGACTATGTCAGCTTTCTGCAGGAAAACAAGGAGTGCCATGTTTCAAGCACTGATATGCTGCAAACCATCCGGCAGTTCATGACCCAAGTCAAGAACTATTTGTCCCAAAGCTCTGAACTTGATCCCCCAATCGAATCACTGATTCCTGAGGACCAAATAGGTAAGAAACACTGTATTGTGTTTTGGGGGAAGGTAGAAATGTGTAATCTGTGTTTGTAGTGATAGTCTTTGTGTCAGTTTGGAAAGGTGTTACTGACTTTGCTAGCAGAGTCAAGCCACTGAATACTGGAGTTGTGAAACAAAATAAACCCCCATACACGCCCTACCCAAATTACCCTAGCAACTGAGAAGAGCTGTGCTACAGAGCTGTTCATAAAAAGTCATCCTTAAAATAGCTGCAGTGTGAACTTCACCTGTGATTTTTAATTTATTTTTTTTTTAGCTGCTGTACTGTTAACAGTACAAAATTCTTTGTTTGCTGGCACATGTGTATTTTCCCTTGCATTGGGCTGAAATAGTTCTTGATCCTTGGACTAAAAATGTGCGTTTTACAGATATGGATTGTAGTTATAAAACTAGAATTTATGTGAAACCCGTGACAGTGAAGATCAGAGAGACATTTCATAACAATTTACTTTTGAAATAAATCTCATTCTTCCAAACAATCTAATTCACTCTTAGAAAAGCTGCACCATTCCTACACTTGAAACTAAATATAAAAAGATGTATAAGAATTTTAAAAAACAAATGAACAAATGTGTGCGAGAGAGAGGGGGATGTTAGTCTCAGGTTTTCTATACCTCTCTGTTACATGGACTTGTTTATAAATGGTTGCAGATAAGCTATATGTTTGAATACGTTTTAGCAACAGGGCAAGACTTGTGTATCCGCAAGAGTGAAATCACTGTTGCTGTATAAAATCTCACTGCCCCTCTATCTTGCCTAGTCTGAGCAGTATTTGTAAGAGAGCCTATGAGCCAGTTCTAGGAGGTAAACATCCCTCAGGGCAGAATACTTTCCCTGTGAGCTCACTTCAGTCCTAATTTGCTTGTTTTTCTTCTGTACCCTCGTGTCACAACAGTTGGCCTGGTGCAAAATTTGCAGACAGTTCTTTCTCTAGGACTACAGGGTGCTTTTATGTTGATATTTCTGTCTGTCCTTGGTCAAGAGCAAGTATTCTCACGTAACCTCAACTTCATATATACCAAGTCAAGCAAAAGTAACAAGCACTGCTAAAGCAAATACAGTATGAAGAGTGTCCTTGAAATCAGGACTCTTTCAAAGATGTATAATGGTCTCATTGGAATATTAAAGAATATTTTGTGGGTGTTATGTGGAAGAAAAATGACCAGTTGACCAGTGGTGCAGACTCATTTTTGCTTGGATTTCTGCAGAGTACTGGGTATTTGGCAAAGGAATACAGATCTAGTTTGCTTGTAATTTTGTGAAAGCTTGCTTTGAGTTGTACTTTGCATCGTAAGGGTGTGGTTTTAGACTGTGGGTCTCTGACGACTGGCAAAATGTTCTCTGCTTTTAAATGTCTCTGTAGTTTGGAGCAGCACAAGCTATGAAATGTAATAACTAAACTACATTGGTTTTCTTCCGCGACAGAGAGTCTGGCTTTGATCGTGTGATTAAATGCAATTAATTTATGAAGTGAGATAGTTTAAACAAAGGAAGAACTTGCTTTTGAATCATCTGCTGCCTATGGCTTGAGCCTGCAAACAACCACAGGATCAGGAGTGTCAGATGCTGTTGATCTAAGCAGATAATTATGTGACAGCAGGATTCAGTCATCCCTGTAGAGAATTTTTTATGATTTAGCCCTGCCTGTTACCCGCAGTTTTGCTTGACTATTTCAGTCTGGTATGGCAGCCTGAACTGTAACTTGATGAACAGTCATCGCTCCTCTCTAGTCAGATGACCCTTTGGTGGTGCAGGGTGTTCCTCTCGATGCCTGGGTTTGGCTGTGTGCTGCTGAGAGAACACTCCTCTCCACTCAGGGACTGCAGTCCCACAGGGAGGGTCAGTTCTGCTGGGCTGATGGTGCCCAGTGCGAGCGGCCGGGCCCGGGAAGTGCTGGGCGGCTGCTCTGGCGGCTGCTCCGCCCTGTGCTGCGGGGCCCGGGCGGGACAACTGCAGCAGGTCCTTCTTGAACTGAGGGGCCCAGAGCTGGACACAATATTCCAGATGTGGCCTCACCAAGGCAGAATAGAAGGGGAGGAGAACCTCCCTTGTCCTACTAACCTCCCCTTTTTTAATGCATCCCAGGATGCCATTGGCCTTCTTGGCTACAAGGGCACATTGCTGGCTCATGGTCATCCTCCTGTCCACCAGGACCCCCAGGTCCCTTTCTCCTACACTGCTCTCCAGGCGGGTCAGCCCCCAACCTGAACTGGTACATGGGGTTGTTCTTCCCCAGATGCAAGACTCTACACTTGCCCTTGTGGAATTTCATCAAGTTTCTCCCCGCCCAACTCTCCAGCCTGTCCAGGTCTCACTGAATGACAGCACAGCCTTCTGGTGTGTCAGCCACTCCTCCCGGTTCAGTGTCATCAGCAAACTTGCTGAGGGCACACTCTGTTCCCTCATCCAGGTTGTTGATGAAGGTATTGAACAACACCGGTCCCAGTACTGACCCCTGAGGGACTCCACTAGTCACAGACCTCCAACTAGATTCTGTCCCATTGACCACAACTCTCTGACTTCTTCCTTTCAACCAGTTCATGATCCACCTCACTACCTGACCATCAAGAGCACACTTCCTTAGTTTATCTACAAGGATGCTGTGGGAGACAGTGTCAAATGCTTTACTGAAATCAAGATAAACCATATCTACTGTCTTACCATCATCTATCCACCTAGTTACTTCCTCATAGAAAGCTATAAAGTTGATCAAACATGACTTCCCCTTTGTAAAACCATGTTGACTACTCTTAATGACCCTCTTGTCCTTGATATGCTGAGAGAGTGCCAAGAATAAGTTGTTCCATCACCTTTCCAGGGATGGAGGTGATGCTGACCGGTCTATAGTTACCCGGGTCCTCCTTCTTGTCCTTCTTGTAGACTGGAGTGACATTTGCTGTTCTCCAGTCCTCAGGCACCTCTCCTGTTGCCCACGACTGACCAAAGATGATGGAGAGTGGCCCAGCAATGACCTCTGCCAGCTCCCTCAGCACCCATGGGTGTTTTCCATCTGGACCCATTGATTTATGGATGTCCAGATTGCTCAGCTGATCCCTCACCCAATCCTTATCTACCAAGGCAAACTCCTCCTTCATCCTGACTTCTTTTGGGGCTTCAGGGATCTGGGGCCCCTGGGGAGGGTCTGCAGCAATAAAGACAGAGGCAAAGAAGGCGTTCAGCACCTCTGCCTTCTTTATATCCTCTGTCACCAGGGCACCCACCTCATTCAGCAGTGATTACTTTTTAGGTGCTTTCACATTTGTTTTGGTGTCCTGTAACCCTACCCTGTTCATCTTAAGATCATCCTAGTACCTTTCTATGTTGAGTTGAGGCTGACCAATGTGTCCCCCAGCATTCCTCCTTTTGCTATGGGAGCAGGAGGATAGGGCAAGTAAGAGGCAGTGGTGAATGTGCTGAGCAGATGCAAAGGATTTGGTTCTCCCTTTCTCAACCATCCCTTTGATTTGCTTTGTGACTTATTCCCTACTCTTTTATTACTTCTTTAAGAGAAGATGCATTAACCACAAAGCCATAGCCTGAGTTTTAAGTAGCCCATAGCTGATTAAAGGAAAACAAACCCAGCACAGGTAGTTCATTGGTGTAATTTATGTAAGCAAAATGAGGGGAGGTTTACCCTACAGACCTTTCTTTCCTAGTTGCTCAACCTCTGGCATCGCTGCCTATCCATCACCCACCTCATTCCTGCCTCTGTTTTCAGGATTGTGCAGATTATCAAGGAATGTGTGTTGTATGAGGTCTTGCCCCTTCAGAGGAGATTCCCTTGTCTGTACCATGGACTAGGCATGTGTCACCATAGACATTGACCAAGAACTGGACACTTGGCCATCCTGACAAGAGCTACCTCATGATAGACCCTTATAAGTCATGCTGGTCTATGAATAGGCAAGATATTAGGAAAATTCAAAACAAAGCAAACTCAGTGAAGTCAGGTGTCCTGCATATACACACCGTGGTGTTCCAAAGCAGCCTTCTGTGCTCAGCCTCACAGGCAATGCCCTTGGTGCAGGGCTCAGCCTTTCTGTGATGTTCCAAAGCTCGCTCAGTCTCTCACTGAGCCCTTCTTTTACTCATGAGTAGTTTGGCCATTGCAGATGATAAACAGTGCTTGTGTGTAAATCCAGGGATTAGAATCTGACAGGTAATCTCAGTGGAGCAACAGCTAGCAACAGGTACTGACAGCCTGCAAAAGGTGAGAGCACATCTGCCATTTCGGGCAGCAAGAGCTGGGAAGAGGCTGTGTGAGGACACTGGTGATGACTAATATGTTGTCCTCTCTGGATGCAGACTTGTGTGGTTTGCAGTAAAACAAAATAGCATGTCAGCACAGGATACAGATGTGTTTCCACAAGTGACAACGAAACTAGCTGGCTGGCCTTTACAATTCATTTATCAAAGCACTTCCAGTTCCCATTTTGAGGCTGAGAGCTTATTATAGGTACCATTTCAGGAACACTACATTGTGCTCAGCTCAAATGAGATTCAATTTAAAAATAAAATCTGAACAGTGTCTGTTTTGATTTTTGAAGTATGAAGCATCCTCAGAGGATATTATGGAAACACTTTCTGTATGCTGAAGTAAATAGGATTTTTTTTTTTGCCCATTTGGATCTGAGAAATATACAGAGATGTTAATGCGAAGGATCAGTACTCAGTTCATGACTTAAGATGCTAATTTGCCTGAGAGGCCCTCCTATATGTTTTTTGCAGCCATTAGAAGTTAAACAGTGAAAGTTACTGCTGGCTGGGAATTGTTTTGTGGGATCCTATCCAGAAACACCTTTGACTTAAAAGGGGATGGTAATAGCAGTTCAGAAAAAAGGCTAAATAGTTGGATGGTCTGATCCTAAACATGTTTATAATTATCTTGTGACACTGAATATCCGTCTAGGACTGAGATCACAAGAAATTGTGCCCTTCCAGTCATTAATTGCAACATAAATATTTGTATTGGTTTTGTATTAATTAGGATACATGGGATACATAAGGGTGTTATTATTGACTTTTTTTTTAAAAAAAGATACTCCAGTCTTTATCAGTCTTGGTGTGTTGTTGGCCTCATCAGTTTGCTAGAATTTGCCACATTTCAGTTTGAGGTCTGAACTCCATTGTTCTTACGTCCACGCCAAGAGTTCATAAAGGAGAAGTTGTGTGGTGTTTTGGGTTTGTTTGGTTTGGTGGTTTTCTTGGTTGGTTTTCTGGTTTTGTTTTTTTCAAACTACAACAAAAACCTTGCATATACTGTCATATCTTCATCCTTCCTCTCTAGTCACTTGCTGGCTATTTCTGTGCAAACGTTCTGTATTAAAATGACAGTTTCTCCTGGTCCGCCCTTGGCAAACAGAGACAGTATCTCTCTGGAATCACAGCTATATGTCCTTTAATTAATTAGTCTCCTATTAGCTGTAATATAGTCCTGAGCAGCATCAAAGGGTGCTAAATATCCTGCCCTGTTTTTATGTACCTGATCACATTACCAGCACAGAATCCCTCAGGAACGTCCTTCAGCAGTCAGTGCTTGGACCTTGCACAGATCTTTGAGCACAGTCTCCTGAGTTACCTGCTCTCTTCCTCTGTGCTGCTTCAGATCTTTTTAAGTTCCTAGAGGAACTGTGGAATGTGATAGAGTACATTTCAAAGCAAGTTTTATGTTTTTTATGCTATTGGAGCCTGTGATGAATTGCAGATATGAAAAACACCTCCTTTCCATCTTACACAGCCATAACATCTGTGTGATTCATGTGGACTGGAAGCTGTGAGAGTGGCTCTAACTTAAGGGTTGAGGGCAGAAGGCTGAAGGCTTCCATTTCTCCCTACAGATAACAAGCCTGGCCCCAAGCAAGAACTGGGGCTCTGTGTAGGAATTTTCCCTCCAGACAGCATGCAGTTCCTGTAGCCTCTGGGGAGGGACTGCTGCTGCAGCTCCCTCCATGCTGGTACTGCCAGCAGCTGAACGAGCTCCTGTCTGGAGCCGGTTGAGATCAGCCACAGAAGCCTACTGAGTTTTCCTGTCTCCCATCCCAAACCACTCACTTAGTATTAGACTAAGAGCTCTAAGGATTCTTTACAATTTATTGAGCATTTTGTGACCAAATGTGGTGTTGACCCTGCTTTGTTGAGATGAAGGATGGCTGACACTAACTATTTGTGTGCAGAACTTCAGTGGAAGCCTGTGGGAGTTAAAATTTCAAGGGGATATAGAGTCATCTTGCTTAACGTAATGTTTGGCAGCACTGGCTGCTTTAATTTGGACTTAAATGAGACCAGGCAGTTGGAATGCAAGCTGCAGAGGTGCTCTGCTTAAAAGCAAAGCAGTTGGTGTTTTTTCTATTTTTAAAAAACTGAACAGGCAGTAGAATTAAAGTAAGCTGAATTGTGAAATTAAAAAAAAACACAAAACAAAACAAACGAACAAAATTAAAATAATTATCCATGAAGTTGGCAAGAAACTGTGTACCTTCTAGAAATTTAGGTGGCTGATCTACCTGTGGGTGAGATATGTGCATTTTTCTTAGTGGAAGAATATTTCTGCCTGCTGAGACCTGAGGACTGTTTTGATGCAGGAGAGGCAGCAGGAGGACAATGCTTCTGCTTCCCTGGCTGGGCTTGGTAGTGCAGTCAGTGGCATTGTGTGGCTCTGCCAGGTACAATAGAGAGAATCAGTCATTGGAAATGTTGCCACTTGTTATGTGTAATTGGTGGCTCCGCCCTTCACACCTTGTGACAGCCTGTCAGGAACACAGGTCAGACTGGTCACGCTTTGCTTGTGGCCATAGGGGAGTCAAGAAGGTCAGAGCAGCAGGAAGATGCTGCTCCTCACCTTTGTTCTTTATCCTTTCCAGCAGCTTTTCTGGTCTGCATTGTGAGAGAGCCCAGATGCATTTAAAGCATCCAGGAATGAAGCAGACACTGCTTGGCTGCCTCTGCCAGGGCCGCAGGAGGAGAAAATAGCAAGAGAAGCTCCAGAGGCCCCAGCAGAATTGGTGCAGGGGAGATGAGAGCTCCTAGTTGGACATTTGGGAATTGCGTGCCAGACAAATGCAGAATAAACACTGTATATGAAGCAAAGGCACCGTAAGAGGAGTGTGTGAAGGGCATGTGTTTGTGTGGGAGAGAGAGATGTGAAAACACAAAAGGAAAAATGACTGAATACAAGGATAAAATACATGAAAACATAAAACAAAAGCCAGAAAACAGAAGTAGGTAGTGCTTGTTTGGACACTGTGTGTAAATCCCAAGCCTTAGAGATAGTTTGCAATTTAAAACAAAAGTGGGGGTGAAGAAAGGGACTGTGGTCTGAGAAAAACATGTAAGAACAGGCAAAGAACCAGGAAGGGGCATAATGGTTAATGAAACTTTATTGAGTCACCACTAGTGACTAGAAATGCCCCCTGCTACCTTGTATAAATGTGTGATCTAGCAGTGAGTCAGTCTCTCCTATTCCTGCTTTGGGTTCCTGTGCTCCCCTAGGACATCTGCCTGCTCTAGGCTCTGGTCATGTCTCCCATCAGGATGTTGGTGCAATGGCCAGGCTGAAGGGTCCCCAGTTTCTTTTGTGCTTGTGGGAGTTCACTGTAGTACAAATAATTGATGTAAGTTAATTATTCATGTGAGCTATGTTGCCATAGGGATGCTGAGTGGGAGAGGAAATTAGCTTACAAAGTAAAGGTTTGCAGAGAAAATGTTTAGCAAGAGTTTTCTCTGTTGATGTTGAAAATGGCGAATGACTGTTAAAGAAAAACTTGAGTAGAGCAAGAATAAAAAACCCCTAAGTTGGTGGTTACTCTGCCACATGCACTCTGTTGCCAAACAAAGAACTTCAGACTTGATGACAAAGCTGTATGTAAGCTTGCATGATGAAATCTGAAGCTGGACAAACACAGCTTGGTTTTCATTTATAGCTTAAAGTGCATAATCTTGTCCAACTTCATAAAGACGCTGACAAAGTGTAGCCAAGTTTTAGGAGACCTTGGTTGAGTTACAGTTTCTGATGGAAGCTATGCAAAAGAGATGGGCTGTCATGCCAAAGAAAACAAAAGTTACGATTTTGATTGTGTTTTATTTTAAGTTTGGGAGTTAACGTCTAAGCTTAAAGTAAAATAAAACTCACAGATTTCTGGCCAACTGAAGAAAAAGTTAAATGGAGCCACAGCTTGCTTTTTTTTTTTTTTTCTTTTTGGGGGCGTGAGGGGTGGTGCAGTCTGTAGTCTGTCCTTCTGGGGCTTTTCATGCTTACCACGTTGCCATAAACGAAAAAGGAATACAGATTCTGTTCTGCCTTTTGTTTTCCTGTTAACAAACATCTGGAAACTCAGCTTGCATAATAAGTGGGCCTTAGCAAGTAGGTTTTGCTCTGCAGTATCTCTTTTGGGAACGGTTGTATTGATACTGGCTCTGCTCTAGAAGAGGAAGTCAGCTGGACTTGTGTTTTCCCGTTGCAGATGTTGTCCTGGAGAAGGCCATGCACAAGTGCATTCTGAAGCCATTGAAGGGCCACATTGAAGCAATGTTGAAAGAGTTTCACACTGCAGATGGTTCTTGGAAACAGCTAAAGGAAAACCTGCAGTTGGTGCGGCAGAGGAATCCTCAGGAACTGGGTGTGTTTGTTCCAACACCAGACTTTGTGGACGTTGAAAAGATTAAAGTCAAGTTCATGACCATGCAGAAAATGTATTCACCTGAAAAGAAAGTCATGCTGCTGCTGAGAGTTTGCAAACTGATTTACACTGTTATGGAGAATAACTCAGGTATGGTGCTTCTCATGGTTCAAGTTCATTGATATTACAAACGTAGGGTTATCTTTTAGTGGAGGAAATCAGACCACTGATTCTGCAGATGTATCCTTCTGGAGCTCTCATAGCATCTCCTTGCCCTTTTGAGGGGGATTCTTCCACTCTGCTTCTTTCCTGGTATCTCTGCTGCACATCTTACAAATTCAGTGTGAAGCAGCTTTAAAAAAAGCAGCATAGTTTAACTGTAGGCTTTTGAAGTTGACTGTCAGAAAGGCTGTCCTGAGTCTTGAATTTGACACTGGTTCTAAATGAGTATTTTTCTGGAAATTGTAATAAAGGAAACACCCTGTATTTAGCTATAGTAATTCAATGGCATCTGTGCAATATGAGACCTACAAGGGCTCTATAATGGGTGGAGGAAAGCAACCTCTGATCCAGTATTTTTTGCTTGGTGTCATTTGACACATCTCTGTTTTTGGAACAGAAATAGCATCTATTTCTACACTGCAGCAAAAGTCCAAAAGTGACCTTGAAACCTTGATGATTAAATGGCGCTACGGACCAGAAAGACCTGCCTGAGTAGTAGTCAGTAGCACAATTAAAATGCTGTGCTGGATGGCATGAATTCATAGGTGCAACTCTGTTGCCTGATACCTTATCAGACACTGCTGTAGTAGGTCACAAGCTCAGGTGAAGCAACTCTGCTGGTAGTAGATTTTTTCCCCTAAGCCTGTAGAAGCTGCTGCAGGTGGTTGGCAGTTTTCTTTCTGAGTGCTGAATGTGCAGCTGGGTCCAGTCCTGATCAAGACACCTACTTTATTTTGAGATGAATGGTGAAAGCTTGTGGCTGTTTGAGAACCCCAAGAGGGCTATTTGAGGCATTTTTGCAAGATTTGGGTCCAAGCTTCTGCCCAGCTTATTTCTGTGCAAACTCCTGCATTTAAAAATGGATACAGGAATTTTAGCCTGAAGTGCTGCAAACTCTTTTCTCCATGGTGTGTTACCATATTGAGTTTTCCAACATTTTCTGCATGTTTCCAACATGCAGAAGAAAAACACTGAAAGGCTGCTGCCAGTAAACTATTGCGTTGAGGGGTTTGGGCTCAGATGTGGCAAATGCTTCTTGGGTTGTCTTGCTTTGTCATGTAAAGTTTGTAAAACTTGTCACTGAGACAGCAGCTGTTTTGAGTGTCTGCTTTGACATGTATTCTCGGGCAGATAGCAGTGTGACTCCTGGAGGGGTATGCCTTAGCTGGTGTAACTATATCAGCCCTTCAGTCACATGGAGCTTCACCAAACTTTGAGTTGGCTCCTGTGACCATCACACCAGTTCTGCAATGAACACAGTTTGGCCAGACCCAGAGATCTGGCCACATAGATAGAATTTTCCAACTGTGTAAATGCAATAAAAGCGACAGGAGCAGGGGCAGACCTGGCTGGGCACAGCACAGTCTGTGTTAGCTGCATGCTGCCAGTGCCAAAGTGCAGGTGGAGGTCAGGCCAGGCTGGCTTGGCAGCCCTTGCTGAGGTGACACATTGAGCTGATGCCAAGGTGAGCCCAGTCTTCACATTCCTTTGCATGCCTCAAGGTGTGCATCACCAGGTTTGTGCTTGTAACAAGTACAGGATGAAGCTGGTGTTGGTCTTCTGTCCAGCAGGCATCAGATGACATGCTTTTTGCTGCACATTCATAACAGGAGGCTCTAGAGTAATACAAACGTGCTGATTAGTGAAGGCAGTAAGATAATGCTTTCCTTTTGAATGCTGAAGCTGGTAAAAGGCTGTGGTTTGTCTAACCCTGCTTGTTCTCACCAACCCAGGGAGGCTGTATGGAGCTGATGACTTCTTGCCTGTGCTGACATATGTCTTAGCCCAGTGTGATATGCTGGAGCTGGATACTGAAATTGAATACATGATGGAATTGCTGGATCCATCTTTGTTGCATGGAGAAGGTAACCTATTTATTTATTTTTATTAGAACTGAGTAAAGGACTAGACGTCGTTGCTGTTAACCTTGTTTGAGTAGAAATCCTTTCAAGGGGAGTCCTAAAGTCACCAATGTCAGTGGTGTAACAAGACAATCTCATTATTTCCACCTTAAACTGAGAGAGAGCGGGTTAGCTTCAGAGCACAGGCCTGAGTGACCTGTGAGGCTAGTGATGTGTACTCCCTTATGAGGGAATACGCTGTTTTCAGCCAAGAAGGGGGAGGCATTGTGACTTAGCAAATAAACATGTGCTGTGCAGGCACCAAATGTAGTTATCCTTGTGCTCCTGAAAATATCCTGAGGGTATTTATAGGGCCACAGCATTCAGTTACATTGCGAGACATGTAATGGGACTTGGGTTAGGTGTTTTGTAAAACCTTCTGGGGAGGAATTCTTTGCTAGGGAAGTGATTTTGAGAATATTGCCTCCCTTAATGACCTTTGCTTCTTCCCAATATTTGTTCTTCACAAAGTGTTTTTATGAGCCCTTGGAATATGTTTCCTAAGGCACTCTTGAATGATGGCTGAAGTCCATTAGAGGCAAGGAAGTCTCCCTCCTTTCTGTTTTCAAGGTGGCATTTTTAACAAAGACGTATTCTGCAAGCCCTTGGTAGGCCCCAGAATCTACCAGTTTATGAGGAAGTTTAAAGGTTCTTGTGACCAAGCTTAGCTGTGAGTTTAAGTACACTTTTATGT